ATTTGTTTATTAGATATAAACATTTAAAGTTTCAAATTTTTGAGTTAATATATAGGTATAATACACAAGGGATTACAAATACAGGTAGCTAATTGATTTTTTATGACATCGATATTAGCAGGTACACAGCATTGTTATTATCAATGATAGTAAGGTACATGGTTGTGAGTTTATAAATACACTAACTGACAATACAAAAAGTATATCTATTGGTAGTCATAATTGATAATAAACAATCTGTGACTGTGATAGCAATATCATAAAAAACCAATTAGCTACCTGTATTTGTAATCCCTTGTGTATTATACATGAATATTAACTCAAAAATTTTTACCCCTATTGTTTGAACACGTGATTAATATTACTTCTGTACAATTTCTGCGTAAAATTAAAATTTAAGACACTGGAAAAGTATAACTGAAAACTGTCATTTTTTTAAAAAAATTAAATGAAACTGATAATAAATAAATAAATAATAAAAATATTAATTTTACAAAAAAGTAATATATTACCCTATTTTTTGTTCACATTGAGTTCTATAAAAATTGTTCTTCGTGTTTTTGGCGAAACTTCAAAAATAAAGAGCGTACACTCAAAAAAAGAAAATCCACCAAATTTTTGAAGAACTTCAACCCCTTTGAGGCACGTGAAGGAGTTGACTTATTGTACTAAAATTTTATCAGTTTCATTTTTTCAGTGAACCTAACGAAATTTTGAGCCCATGACTCTGAATTTATCAAGTTGAAAAATAAGGACCACCCTAATACTTATATTGAGATTTTATTTATTTATATAAAAAGAGACATTATAGAATTTTCGTGTGTGCGAATTAGCACAATTTAAGAAAGAGTTTCACGCTTATCGTCGATAGTCAAAATACTATACAAACCATCTAAAAGAAGTAAGTTAATTTATGCTATCCCAATTATATAGAGGTAATAGGTCTGAAAGACGAAGCAATAGATCATTCATTGTATTAATATTGTAAAATATTATACTTGACTGGGTGGTTAACATCTTGTACATAATCACGTTACATGGTATTCGCGAACTGACTTGTCGTTCCGTTGCCCTTGTGCATATTTTTTGGTACCAACCAACATTCTTTATTTCACCTCAGCAATATATTAACGTTCATAATTTTTATATCTACTTGTCTTCGTTGTTCTAAGCCCTCGGACCACACAACCCCGATAGAATCCATACATTCTATAACTATGATTACCATAACCTGTTTTTATTTTATTTTGTTATTTTAAATTATAACAAAAGGGTCTTATACTTTTACTTAGCAATTACCTACAGTTATTTTTAATAAACTAATTACAATTCACATAATTAACGTACGACCTTATTTTTATGTTCCACTTCGTCAACCCTGAAGAGTAGAAAAAAAAAATTAGTTGACTGTATATTATTGTAGAGTTTTATGAAATTAATATTTTTTCCTTTTACAAAAATCTTAAATTTTCAATGGTTTCTGAAAAAATTATTGTCTTTACCAGATTTTGATAACTCTGTATGTAGACTTAATAATAGCCGGTAAACTGGTTCATACTACTATGAGGTCGACAATAAAATATAGATATTTTTAATTACTAATTAATTGCATGTGTTGGCGTGGTGGACAAACTAGATGTTGAAAAAACCTTAGTGTTAAGCCACGCCTGCCGCCATAGTGTACGGATGGATGACCATCGTGCGTTTAAGGTAGTAAAAAGGACCATGTCCAAAGTGTAAAAGGCAACGGGAAACCACTGCACTTATCCTATCCATAGTAATACCTGTTGAGACCTTAGGGTATCTGATATCTAACGACCAAAAACCAGTAGGAATTAAAAATATATAGATATATATAATATATAGATTTAATAATAGCCGATTCATACTACTACTAGGTCTACACTAAAATATAAATATTTTTAGTTACTAATTAATTGTAATTTTAACTCTAAAAAGACTTTTCAATTTTCCTTTCTCTGTTTGTTAAACTGTTAAAACTCAATTGATTTACAAGATTACAACAGAAAAATGAAAATTTTATAACTTTAAATGCAGAGAAAATAATGAAAAACTATAACATCAAATATTTTTTTCACTAGATTAGATATGTGTTTTTTACAAAAATCAAGACGTAAAAACTGTATTTTATGAAATATTATCATAATAATGTAGAATTAATTTTATTCTAAACAAATATTATAAACATGTGACCTGATTCAAGAAGTAATATAAAATACATTTCTATATGCTGTTATAATTCAAAAATACAAATAAAAAAAGTAAAAAGTTGATAAAATATAAATGATGAAAATGAGCGATAAATGATGGGTATAGTGAGAACCTGATGTTGTAGTTCTATCGGGGTCGTATGGTTCGAGGGTTTAGAACAATAAAGACAAGTAGATATGAAGAAATAAAAGCATGTCCTCTTTCTTGAGGAATATGAGCTAATAAACTTGTAAACACCTTTAATAGGACACTGAGGTAACGGGGCGGTAATCCGACCCTCGAATACCCAGTCGAAGTGTCTATTAATATAATCAGATACACATTAGGTTTTTAAACTCTTTTTAGGCACGGGGCGGTAATCCGACCCTCGAGACCCTGTAATGTGTATATGTAGCAGGTGTGAACAAACTAGCAAAATAGCTCTTGATATTAAAAGGAGATTATAGATCTATTGCTTTATCGTTCTTTACTCAGATTATTAACTTTAAATAAATGGAATAATATAAATTGACTTACCTTCGTATTTTGTAATGTCCAAGAAGATAAATGAAGTATTTACCAGAAATGCCAATTTTTACTCAATGTTATTTGTTTATGGTAATAATGTCTTTATAGATCAAAATAAGTTTTAAACATAAATAAAGTAAACAAAATAAAATAACTCAAACGGCAGCACGGGGCCGTGATCAAAATGTAATAGCAAGAGTAGTTTGTAGGAAAGAACTAGCTTACTGGAGATGTGGCTCTGGCCTTAGCCGTAGCCGTGGCTCTCTGTCTCTCTGGGTTTTTCAATGGATATCAGTACTTTTTATAGTACTAAAAAGGTACCCCCATATCCAGGGATATTGCCGTTTGTGTTATTTATGATTATTATTTATTGTTTCAAAGTATACATTACATGATAATTATATTAGATAATATAGTTGACAATAGATGAGTTGGCATATATATAAATAATAATAAATTGTATTGAACAGCATATTTGTTATGACAGATAAATTATTTGTTTGTTTACAAGTTGTTTAAAATACAAATTATACATTTTTCATTGATAATTGTGAGATGCTTAGTGCAAAGTATTAAGCATATCACGACAATGCATTACAATTTTATTAGAGTATTAATATAATAGTATAATAAATTTATATTAATGATAATTATGGATATTTTAAAAATGTTTGTAATTTTAATTACATCAAATTTCGCAAACTCTTGTACATTCTATTGTAACGCAAATACAAATTTGATTAAGATTAAGAAACTAAATAAAATTTTTGGTCATACAAATTGGATTGAGTTAACAGAAGACTATAGTTATTGTTATGGTAAAAAGAATACCGAGACACAAATTTATACTAAAAATCTATTTAAACCCGATAATGGCGATACAGAGATAGTAACCAGTAACAATTTAAAAAAAAAAATGATAGATGGTTCCATGATATTGAGTTCAATTTACTACAATATTGTTAATAAATTTAAATATTGTGAAACGTGGATTAGTAACTGTGTAAAATGTAAATATATATTGGTTAATTCAAAAAGTAATAAATTTGAGTTAAAATTTTGTGAAAGATTTCAGCAACACATAAAAATTAATTTTGATGATGAAATAATTGAAAACTTGAACCTTTTTAATAGGGCAATTAATATTTTCAATCCATTAATAACTTGTATGAGAAATGCACTACATTTTTTCAATTACTCAACGCCTGTTCTTACAGTTTTAAATAAATTAATGAAGTGGCAATCAAAAATTAAAAATACTGAAGAAATAGTTGACATTAATACTGCTGAAAATGAAAGTAAGGAACTCATTGACTTTAATATTTTTGACGAAAATTATTTAAGTTTTAATCGAAAAGTTCTCAATAAGTATAATACGGAAAAACACAATAATATATTCGGCTGTTTCAACATACGCCACAAAGATTTAAAAGAGAATATTGCAAAGGGTGTACAGAAATTTTGTATAGATTTAGGCTTTGATGGCTTTGATGTTAAAAAATAAATAGCATCATTTTACTCCAATAATGTACATATATATTATCTTATCCGTGAAATTGTCTTGATTACTGGTTATACTATATTTTTCATAATACTGGCTTATTTTAAGATAACTAATTAGCAAACCTTTAAAATAAATAAAATCTATTATGAAAAATGTAAATTTATTAAATCAGTTATAGTGTAATACTTTCTATTTTAGAGTGAAATTATTTGTGTATAATTTATTTATCAATTTTTAAATTATGATTTTCACATTTTATTTTATCATAAGATGTATTATAATAAAAAATTAAAATTGTTCTTCATTAGTCGTAGTATATACACGTGTTTATTTATCACATCATGAATTAAAATAATAAGCCAAATAATTTTATTATTTATTTTAATATTGCGTTTTTTGTTTAAATTACAAATTTGAATCCCCATCTGTGAGTAAACAAAGGGTCATATTTAGGAAAAATGTATTGGAAATAAAAGCGAAATCGCCTATAATATTTATAAAAAAAAATTCATTTTGTTTCATTGATTTTTCAACAAAAAAAATATAGTATCAATAATATCAAATTTTACCAATTTTAAAAATCTCAATACCTGTTTTTTGAGGTCGTCTCTTCCTAATTTATTTGATGGGATTATACCGTGACCATAATGAAGTTGCATGATAATGTCAAAAAGATTTAGGCTTCGATGGTCATGTTAAAGAATAAATACTACCATTTTTTATAGCTTCGATGCGAAGCTGAAAAGGTATTAGTTTTACTATGATATATTTTTTTTTTTTGTGTCCGTTATCACTTTTTCTCAGCTTTCACCGAACGGATTTCTTTCAACGATATGTCAAAAAATCAGAAATGGTATCTATTCGTAGATATTAGCCTTAAAATTGAAAAAATTTCCCTCGTGTCCCGTAAATGGGGGAAATCTTCAAAAAAATTACAAATTTACAAATCACTAATTTTCGGAAATTATTTCAATTTTATTTACTAAAAACTGCCGTAACTTCTTCAAAAATAAATATATCATAGTAATTTTATTTTAGATATGCTTGATGTCTTTAATTATCATTTAGTATATTTTTTTATAAAATTGACCCTTTATCTGCCCACAGGGGGGATTTAAAATGACAACTTTTTCACAAAAAATTAACTTTTGAAAATGTTCCGGAAGGTCTGACACTTTTATATATATCTTAAATTAAAGCTAATGTAATGTACTTTATTATGCAAAAAAAAAATTTCAGACTTTATTTTGTTTTTATGTTGAAAATAGCTACCAAATGCTATTATTGTGTGAAAATTCTCGATTTTATTTTTTACATTTTTAACTTTATAATGATATAACTTATTGAAAAGTTTATGGAACAACATAATTTTTTTATGAGAAATAATATTTTTTAATAATCCCTTTTTCATTTGACATACTTAATCTTAGTCAGGATATTAATAAAGAAATAGCAGATTATGTAGCTTTTGGAATAATACACCAATTTTTTTTAATTAAACACTATCTAAAGATTTGCATCGAAGCCTTTTTTTTTTATGTGATTTTAATCATTATCAGATATTATTATACTTGATCCAACTATGTCACGTCACTACTGTGACGCGGCCTCCCTGTGCTGGGTTTTTTTTTTAATTGTTTTAATTACTTTATTTTTTAGAATAATAGATTTAAAAAATATAGTTTTATATGAAAAAAGTTTATTTATTATAGAAGTTATAGTATAATACATTCTATTTAAGAAAGAAATTTTTTGTGTATAATTTATGTATCAATTTTTAAATTATAATTTTCACAATTTATTTCATCAAATTTTATAAAAAAATTTATAGTAAAATTAGTTCATTAGTAATAGTGTATACACTATGTTAATTTATCATATCATGAATTAAAATAATTAGTCCACTATTTTTAGTATTCAATTTAATATTGTGTTTAACTTTCAAATTTGAAACCACATCTGTAAGCAAGCAAAGAGTCTGATGTTAGAAAAATTAATACTGAATAAAATTGAAATATCTCTAGTATTTATAAAATAAAATACGTTTTGCTTTATTGAATTTTCTAAATAAATAAATGTTTAAAAAATGTCCACATTTACCAATCTTAGAAACCCTAAATTTTTGGGGAATTTACCCTTTTACGGATAACGAGAGTGATGTTTTAAATATTTCTGGCCAATGTTAAGAACTAGATATGAATTTTGATTTATTTACTTATCGTAAAAAGAAATTGGTTAAAAGACATTTATACAAAAATATACTTTATAATTGCGCATTTTTAGTTCTTTTTTAAAGTTTTAAGTTTGTCTTCGTTATAGCAATAAAATCGACTAGTCACGACCTTGATCCAAAATTATGTTTTTATAAAATAATTTTATTTGTAAAACCCATCAATTTTTTCGTATACTCGAAATCAGGTTACCTTGTAACACGTTATTTGATAACATTTTTCAGAAAATTCTCATTTATTATTATGATGTGTTATTTTTTCAATTTTAAGTTATTAAAGTTATCTCAAATTTATTTTAAACACATTATAAAATAACAATAATGAAATATTAAGTAGACATTTATAAAGTTTATCAAGGTCAAAAATTATGACGTCATGGAATTCTAATTCACCCTTACTTCCCCTAGATTCGCCATTGACCTTGTGTAATATATAATATAAATCTAAAGAAAGACTCATTTGTTAAATAATAAAATGATAAATGATGACCTTGAGACTTTTGTCGACGTTTATACACCGTCTTCTATTATCATTAACAGTTTTTTACAGTTTTATTTTTATATCTATAATAAAAAATTTTAAAAAAGCGAATTATACATATATACAAAATATCTTATATCTAAATGACAACACTAATAACTTTTTATTCAATAATCATATTATTGAATTTTTTTAAATAATTATTGCCTTTTAAGACTACGTTTAAAACATATTTTTCATTATTTATCTTTAATAATAAAAATAACAAAAATAAATTATTTTATTCTTAATCTCATTCCAAACTTCAAAACAGCCTTCTTTTTAACAATTTAAAAAAAAAAAATTGTTGAATTTTAGGATATGTACGCATTAAGTACAAGTATACTAATACATATAGTAGTAGGGAGTATGTAAATTATGAACTTAAAAAATTGCAAAATGTTACCCCTCGGAATTGTTCGAATACAAATAGAAATAATAATTGATTTGTAAATTCTTTTGACTAGTTGATAACCACTTTTGTAATATTACTTTTTTAGATATTAGCGTTTAAAGAATTTGAAAAGTTGAGACTCGCGGTAATGTTTAGTGACGCTCTATTTTAATTACAATTCACAGATAATAATTCTTCTACGTTGCGCGTCCCTCTTGTCTATAACTAAAAATTATACAATCCAAATGAACGGTACAAAACTGTTTATCGGCTGGTCAAAATTTAATTAATTCCATTTAGCATAGAAAAATATAATTATAGATTCTCATTTAACTCTAGAAAATCACCTCTAAGATCTACCCTTAGAAATCAATTTTTATTACAAAAAATTTGATATTTACTATAGGTTATAATAATATATCAATTTTAATTTGTCAATTTGTATAAAAAAAATCATTATTAACCGATGAAAAATGGAGGTAGTATATGTACTCTATAATAAATCACATTGTATGTAAGTTCTCATTGTGTTATTTTAGTTTAGCATTTATGGGCTAATAGGTACAATAAGTAGACATTTTAGAAAAACAATTCTGTTAAAACAAACGATGATCGTTTAATATTTGAAACAAGTTTCTTAATTTTAAATTTATTGACTTAAGATAAATATATGAACACAATAAATTTGATACCGTCAACTTTGAGGCAAATAAATATTTTATAGATATCACCAAATTTTTGTGAAAAAATATTGTATGTATCTTATAATACTTGTAAACATTTTACTAGTGCTGTAGATTGATACAGCTAAAACGATAATGGATATTTAAATATCAAAATGACTGTAATCAATTATTTGAATAAATTTCGAAAATGTACAAATTTGTCATATAAAAAACATGTTTTTAGATCATCAAAACAATATGGCAAAATACAAAAAAATATATTTTTATTTCTATGAAATGTTAACTTAATTTTGAATAATTGTGAAGATTTTATTTAGAAACTTATTTTTATTCAAATATTCATACAGGTGATTCTTTTAANTATTCAAATATTCATACAGGTGATTCTTTTAATGTTAGTCACTCATTTTCTCTCGGAATAAAAATTATGTTACATTTTGTTGGGTTGGGTGCAGCTTTTTATAATGTATATTTTTAACGCATATTCTACTCGCGTTATTTGACCACTCTATTTAATTTATTATAATTAAAAATTTTAAAAAATGGCAATTTTTAAATTAAATAATAATAATAATAAATAAATTGTTTTTATTGTATATTTTGTAGTAAAATGAATAATAATAGTCGTTATTTAAAATTTTAAAAAATGGTAATTTTTAAATTAAATAATAATAATAATAAATAAATTGTTTTTATTGTATATTTTGTAGGAAAATGAATAATAATAGTCGTCTTGTATATTTGATATTTCGTGTAAATATTTTTTCTGCTAATGGAGTATGATTTTATATTTCTCTACATTATTTCTTATACCATTAAAGTATTTGTGATGATATTTTGCTGTGTAGTCGTAACGCGTTCCCTGAGGTTTGAATAATACAATTTTCTCATTAAAAATGTTTTTTTTGGGGTAAATTATAGAAAAAATAAATAAATCATATCTATTAGCATATTAAACAAAAGAAAGTAATTTTTATCTTAAACGCAACTCCGGACGTTCGACTATATGGTTTATGGTGAACACACTTTTTGTAAATAGTGACTCGGATCGTAATGGGCTATTACGGCTCGTTAATAGTGCGCCATAATTATTAATAGCACTAATCATTTATAGTTAATCCGTTAATCCGAGCACGTTATCCGTTCGTGATTATCAGCTGTCANGTTATCCGGTCGTGATTATCAGCTGTCAATCGTCGCCCACGACAGTGTTGACGATAACATTATGTTTGTCTTGTTCGGCGGTCGGCAGACAGGACAGGTCAGGTCGTTCAGCACCGTGAGACACATCGGCGACTATGTAAACCAGTTCACCGATGACTTACGTCCGCCGCACGTGCCGCCTAATTATATATTAACAGTTTCTTTAACTATTTCCAAC